ATTACACGTCTCAACAATTCAGGCGAAAATATTCAAACTCCAGAACAATTAATGCAAATAAATATAAATGATGCAATTTTGAAGGAAAATAAGTTGCAGGTAATTTTTAAAAATTCTTAATTTTTTTTTCTTTATTTTAATTTCTTAAATAAATTCATAACTAATTCAATATAAATTATTAATTTTTTTGAAATATTTTTTTTTTATTTTAGATGTTGAATAACACAGATAAATTAAGAAGCCAATTTCTTGCATTACAGAATTTTGTCAGAAAAACAGACAATAAATTACAATTTCAATTTTCAAGTAAGAAAATAATTTAGAAATAACTAAGGTTTTACTATAAATATTTTTTATTTCTTAAAATTTAATTTTGCTTATTTTTTCCGAGTGAAATTAATATATGACCAAATGGAAATCCATTTGGTTCATATATTAATTTACTATTTTTCTTTTTATTCAGACAATTCTCAAGTAGCCACTACTAAAATTCCTTCAGTTATATCACGACTGAATGAACAAACAGTTAAAGAAAATTATTCAACTGCTGGAAGTCTCCCAAATCAACATCCTTCTGGTAAATCATCCATTGACATTTTTCATCTTTCTTTTTTCTTTGAATAGAAATCATCCTTCAACATCCTTCATTCTTCTTGTTTAACATATAAATCATCTTTTATCATCTTCATGCTTCTTGCTTTATACTAAAATAATCCTTCACCATTCTTCATTTTACCTGTTTTATATAAAATTTATCTTTAAATCATCCTTCATCCTTCTTGTACATATATAATCATCCTTTATCATTCATCATCTTTTTGTTTTACATGTAAATCATCATTTATTATCCTTCTTTCTTGCTTCAAATATAAATAATCCTTTATCATCCTTTATTTTTCTTGATTCATAACATAATAAAAAATGATATTTAAAATATTTATTATTAAAATTTTTAAATTACACAAAGTAAAAATATTGAATATAAAGAGGGATACTTGATAAAATATCAATTAATTAATTATCTTTTTATAGGCACGTGAAAAGAAGACACCCTCCATTTTGTAGTATAGCCATCCTTCATTAAAACGTCTTGTTAAAAATAAATTAATTAAAGGAAAAAAACACAAAAGTATTTTAAAGGAGTCCAACAAAATAAAAAAAAAATTTTTGATGTTCATTCATCCTTCCTTGAATTCCATCCGCAAATTTTGCAACAAGAAAAATTTCAAAAAAAAACATAAAAAAATAAAAATAAAAAAATTTGTTTTTAGTCAAATATTTATTTATTTGATTTTTTAAAAATAAAAAATAAAAAA